TAAAGAATAGTTAATTGGTAATGTGTAAATATTGTTCTCGTGGGGAGAATGAACTATCATAAGATTCAACTCGACACTAATGAGAAATCCAGTGCGGTCAGTGGATTGTTAACTAAATCTCTCCTGGAAAATTGTCCTTTACTACGTCTCACCGTTTGTTTGCTACTGCTGTTTCCAGACTTGAATAAGTTGGCTGACTCTTAAATTAACTGCACTATTTCCCCTGTAATTATTTTCACAGCTTTGTTACCCTTCCTTCTCAGAAGCTGCTTCGCAGGGGATACCTGTCAACAGAGCCGTGTAACTGTAGTATAACTACTCACTACATGATGTAGCTGAAATTTTCTTAAGAGGAAAAAAATCATGTAGATAATTGTGTCACTATATTAGATATAATGACATATTTAGATATTCAACGCTGTCTTAGTATCTTTGGCAACTTTAAACTAGCTACTGAAGTTGCAAATATGAAGACTGAATGCTCAGAAGCAAATATCACAGATTATCACCTTAGTAATGTGTGACATCAAAGCAGAAGGTAGTAAGGAAAACCACTTGCTAATTAACCTTCAGCAGCCAGATTGTATCTCTGCTGCCCCAGCATGGAGGGCCCATGGGAGAGCCTGGGCTTCTTCCTTCAGAGTGCACCGCGATGCTTTGGGTGGGAATGCAGTCTGCCGGCTGCTGCGGTGGGCGCAGACCACGTCGCTCACGTGCATCTTGCCCGGTCTGAGCCGGCGTGGCAGGCTCTGTGCTCTGGGACACCGTCTTGCTTCTGAGTTGCCCCCAGCTCAGAAAAGCAATTTTGTTTCTAGCACAGCGGTTTGCAGCAAAGCTACTAGCTTCCAAGGGGCTTTTCAAAAGATAGCTTGACTATAGTCCAGTGCCATTTGCTATATTTATAATAATACATTTGTTTCCATTTTCTTAAAACTCTTCCCATACAGAAGTTTGCCAATTAAAATCATGCTCTATGTTGTAGTAGGTGACAGTGCAGTGAACCAAACAGGATTCGTAGCTATCTAAGGAAGAGCAAATGCACAGAGCATTATAGAAGGAAGAAACCTCCTGCTACATTTCTACTTGTTTCATTTGGAGTTGATTCAAATATCAGTATTTTAAAATGTTTTTGGAAACAGAAAGTCCATAGTTAATGTCAAAACATTGTCTCTCCCTCTGTCTGTGAACCAGGAAAAATAACAGGACTCTTTCTTAACACCTGTTTTGCCTAAACACTAAGTGATTGTTACTGTAAGGCAAGGGTTGTTTTAATGTATTTGATGCATCTATTAAAATGGGCCAGCTCTTTTTTTTTTTTTCCTATACACAGAAATGGATTTATGCACACAGAGCGGTTTAATAAACGTGGAGCCTCCTATTCTTGGTAAATGCTAATATAACTATATTATAGTTATATTTAAACCCTAATATAACTGTATTTGTAACTGTATTAGGGTACTCAGATTCTATGAGGTATCTTTAAATGTTAGCATAAATCAAGTCTCTGCTGACTAAAAAAGGAAAGATGTTAGAATATCAAAGCAAATGTCTTTTACTAAATTTTCTTCACTCTTCTGTTGTAATGATCTCCATCTTTAATTTCTGAGCAAGTTAATTTCTTGACATTACCAACCAAGTGCTAGCTTTTTTTCAAAACCTCCGATGTATAAAAATACCTGGATATTCCTTTTGAGCGTATGTCATCATAATGGTAATCCTTGCAATGGCATACAGAAGCCTGGTTTAAGTTGTATTTTGCTCAGTTAGCGTGGCAGCATATTGCAGTGCTATTATGGGTCTGGGTGGAGTCTAACAATGGAGGGCTGGCAGCATTTTTTAAACACTGTCCAAAGCAAGTGCTTCATATTTATTAGTCTCTTGGAGGAGTATTTGAAAAGTCATGAAACTATTTGTTCCTAGAAGTAAATTATTGCACATACTGAAAAGTGTGTTGGTGTTCATGAGCAATAATCCAAACAGAACAAGTTAACTTCTACATATCACAACAGTCGTTTATGAAGATATATTACTTCTGTGTGGTGCCATCTCAAGTTCACTTCAAATGGAGACTTTGATTTAATCTGTTTAAACTGAAGTTAGAATTCTACAATAGAAGTTTGTGAGAGATGCATGAAAGGACTGACTGAAAATAGTGTGTGGGAGGGGAAAAAACCAGAGGAGAATTATTTTGCATCTTTACCTTTCTGAGATGATTGCTTTAGTCATAGGAAAGCAACTTCACTAACTGAGCATATACTTTGAATGTTAGTATGGCATTTAGCAATCTTAAAATAAGCTCCCTTCTAGTGCATACTGGTATTTCTTCATTCCCTTCCCTTAGGATGTGAGATTATTTCTTTCCTAATGTCATCCTTTTAGGATTTCCATACTAATGGTACCCCATTGAAGCTTCCCTCAGGCCCAGAGATTTCTTTATTTACCATTGCTTTTTAGGGTTTGTGCATAGTTATTGTTCCTCATTTGCTTTCTTTAAGCTTCGTCAAGACATCACTTTGTGCAAGTTTGTCTGCATGCTCTCTGCATTTTTTTTTTTTTTTTTTTTTATTAAGAGCACAGTGGTTTTTATACTAAGAGTCACTTCCCACTTCCTCCCCAAATGGGCATGTACATAATAACTGCTAGGAAGGTCAAGGGTGTGATTCTTGCCTATACAAGAGCAATCTGGGTCGCGACAAGAAAAAGAAAAATCTCTCATTGAGTCCCTGAGCTTTTCCTGGTATTTGTAGGACACAATCCATGGATGTGTCTTGTAATATTTCATTTATTTAAAATTTACCAGCACTTCCTTATTCTTAACTGTGTCTTCATTTCTCATTGTTTACATAGCATTTGAGAAAGGCACTGCTGATTTTGAACCAGCCGTATTATGTGCTGAATGCTCAGTTCTGTTTCTAAGCTGTTGGATATTGTGTTTTCTTTGTACTTTTTGGAGCTGAGATGACAACAGACTGCAAAGCATAATCCTTCCAAGTGTAATCCCAGTGAAAGAAAACATAAATAAAACCACTTGTATTCTGGCATTCCTTTTTCCCTTTTGTTATTTCTGCAACTTGGCGCATATTCCAATAAAACTATAGACCATTTCTGTATGTTGCAGAATTGTGCAATAGTTACCGAGAATTTCTCCTCTTTAAAATCAAAGTTCCATGTAAAGTATAAAAAAAAAAAGTAATTTCTAAATATTGTAGCACCTCTTAAAATAACTAGACTGAGCATAGCAGGGTGAGGGTGACCCCTTCCCATAAAAATACCTCTTTTCCTTGGTTTAAGACTGTATGTGAAGCTGCTTCATTCCACAGTTCACAGAATCAAGTCTGAACCAGTACCAAAAGCAGAGGCGTCAGGGTGTGTTGAGGTTAGTTTTCTTAATCATCACTGAAGTTCAGTGTCAAAAATCACTGAACAGTTTCTATCGTATAAACCTGTTACATGTGAGACCAGACCCAGGGCTTCAGAAGCCAGCCTAAATAACCTGGAGCTAAAACCCCTTTTCCGATCGGTGGTGACAGTCCTGTTGATTGGCATGGGACAAAGGTTCGCTCGAGCCCCTGATCATTCTTTCTAAACTCCAAACTGCTCAAGGGAGAGATTCTTCTTGTTTGTGGTTCCTGCTCTGGTTGAGTACAGTTCAATGCCATTATTGCTATGGGGACTGTTGGACCACCTTCCTAGTAGATGCTGGATGAAAAAAAAAGCAAACTCCAATATGATTTCCTTCTATTGTATAAAACATTTCTCAGTATTATGAAATCATAATTCCCAGGATGCAGACAGGCTTCTTTCTGGATTCTAAAAGAGATTCATAGGAGAAATTTTAGTGCGTGTATTCAAAACAGTGAGTTGTATTATTGTGGGATTTTTCTACCAGCAAAGGTATGAAAATATAAAATGGACCTGTACCGTACAGCATCTGAATGTAAGCCTCAGGTGTTTTTAAATCTTTTGCCTTTGGTAAATATCCAATTTCATTAGAAAAATAAGCCGTGGGCATTATGAAGTATGGTGACATTTAATATTCAGAGTGTTGAGTCCAAGTATGAGCGCCAGAGAGGAAAAAAGTTAACCCAGCCTCCGACGTAGTACTTTTCATGTAAATATACAAAAGAAATACAGATATATTAAGTATGGTTTGTTTTATTAAAGTGATTTGCAGTAAGTTAAATTCACAAGAGATGTGACATTTCTAGATAGTGTTTCTTTTCTAAAAACGTTTGTGTCTTTAATGAGAGTCCATAAGTTCTGTCATAAATCTAATCTGCCATTATCATTTTTATGTTTTATAAAACTACATAAAGTGAAAATGGTTATGATGTGAAAAGTTTAGATTAAACTGGTTTTTAGGTAAATGTGTTATATATTTTGAGTTACAGTAATTGTTTGGAATTGTTTGAATTCAAACATTACCCTTATTCTCCTACTAAGCACTACGAAGTCTAGCAAGGCAATATTTTATAACAAGTAACCTGAACAAAAGCAGGGAGAATCGTTCAAAATAGCTATTTCCTATCAGTTTAAAATATAATCAACTGAAGCAGCTGTTCTTGTTCTTAATATACTCTTTTGAAAAAAATTTCATAGTTTAATGAAAAATGTCTCTTCTCATAAGCATTAAAATACTCACACATGTAAAAAGTTGTAATGTTTTGGCAAATAGTTCTTTGTAAGGAATGTACATGAGACATACCTGCTCCATAACTGCAACACTGTGTAAAGCATGATCAATAGTGTCAGAAGAGGAAGCTAAAGAAAAAAAAAAAAAAAAAATAACAAGTCTTGTGGCCCAACTGTGATGCTCTTGTGTGGAGGGGAGAGCGATTGTCCACGCAAGTATTTCCATGAAAGTCAGCGGGACTACTTGTGTGAGTAATTGCTTGCAGGCAGAGATTCCCAGGCTCATGGTAAAGTGAATTCAGGAAATAAGCACATAAATGTTGGGAGAATAACTACCAGCAGGATTAATTGCCGCCTCCTCTTTTTAGGAATCCATGGATCATCTTTTGTCCTTGACATAAGAGATTTCCTACTTAAAACAAGTCTCAAAGAAAGAGCCAGATCTCTGATGGGCCCTTTTTGCTGCTCTGTTGATGTGGAAGCCAAGTGGTGTAAGCACAGCGGTGATCCTGGCCCAGAGCAATCTATTCCGAAAATATACATCGATTTGAGAGGAGGACTGCTGCAGGTCTGTATAAGATGCTTACAGTTCTGCTATTGAGCTGGACTGGCTTTGGATGATGGAGATTTCATAAATAAATTGCATGAAAGCCTGTAAAGCTTTGCAGCGTACAACAGTTCATTGGGTTGGGGTTTTTTGCTTGTTTGTTTTGGGTGGTTTTTATTTTACCTTTTAAAATAAGTATCTATTCTTTCATGTAAAACTGTTGATTGAAAAATTGTGTACAGTGGGTTTTTTTAAAACACTGCTTAAGCCATGTATTGTAGCTGTATGTGTGTGTTCCCTTAAAACTACTGGATCAAATTACTAACACTTAATATCTAGGACCCTGTTCTGATGCGTGTGTGTGTTTGTCTGTCCATGAGCTATGTGTCTGTAATGCCTAGGGGTAGCTTTAAGAAATACATATCCTTTCTTTTTAAACTTACACCAGTTTCTCAGGGGAGTAATTACAAGCTGTTGTTTGTAGCAATTAATACTCAGTTTTCCATGCTATCCTCTCCTTTTTGGAAGTGCCCACAACTTGAAACCAGTCCAAGAAGCATGGGAGTTCTTGAAATGAAAAATAGATTCTGTGGGGCTTAAACAAGTGGGCTTTAAGATATGTCTTGTTTTAATTATTTTTATTGTAGTATCTATACACACCAAATGTTTTAAAATAAATATATAAATCAAGCATATAAAACACAAAAAGGAAATTTTGACATTTAGTCACGTCATTAGGTCTTTTCCCAGAGTCAGCATTAGTTCTTGAAACCACAGTACTGGGAATAGGGCTAATTGAATAATACAAATTTTAAAAAGTTATGTCTTAATGAGTAAATAAAGTCAGTTTGTTTCTTTGCTTCTTTTTTATTTGTTATTCACAGGTACTTGGCTGACTACCTCTACATGTTGTTAATAATAAAAAGGGGTTTGGCTTTTTTTCCAAAATTTGGGGGTTTTGACATAGACCAGAAATATATCTATAAATCTGAGAAAGCCATTTATTATTAGAGTATACACTGAGATAATTAGCTTTTGCAGAAAACAATTAAATATTTGGTCTGGCAGAATAGATTTGAGAATGCTGACAAAAGCATTACCAATTCTGTTTGAAATTAATTTATTTACAGCTAATGATTTTACCAGCTCTAAACATGACCTCATCTTCTACCACTGTTAATTTGTATTGCAGCAGAGCCTAGAGAGCTTATGTGAAATTGGTGCCTCATCTGTGAACATTGTAGTAAGAGTTCCATGCTCTGGAGTTCCAGCTGCCTAAAAATAAAATGAATAAAAGTGGGGGGAAAAAGCATTCCTCCCTCCTTCATCAATGGCGGACTGAGGCCTCTGGTATCAGCTTAGGTGAAACAGAGCTCCTTTGAGGTGGTGCTAGACCAAGTGTGGGACCCTGAACCCAGACGTACTCTAGAAACTACAGTAGAGGTGCACTGAATTAGAGGGGTGACCTGGGTAGCCCTGGACTATTTAGCTCAGGACTGGCTGTAGCTGTGTTTCAAGAGGGTCTTGGTTCATTCCATGGGCTTACATGTAGATGCAGGGGAAGGAAAAGCTTCCTTCTTGACAGCTGTACTACACTCTCTTTAGGCATCTTCTGATTTTTTTTTCATATTTGAAAAATGGTATTCCCCAGTGAAAAAATTTGCATTACGCTTTATGTGCACACCTGACTTGCTTACTTTACTCCTACCCTTACCACAGACTTTTAAGTTACTGTCTGGTGACAGACATCCCAAAGTGGTTCTAAGTCTTATTTCTTTATTAATTGCTCGTTGCTTCCTCTTCTTCCCTGTTGCTTCTGGGCCCACTTCTGCACATGAAGAGTAAAGGACTTGTCCCCTTTAACGTGGTTCTCTCAAACAGGAGTTTGATTTGAGAAACGCAGTGCTGCTTGTCAAAGCTGGGAGAGAAGAACGTCTACTTACCTTTTATTTTGCTATAAAGTGTATGAATCTTCTGGACTTTGAATGCCAGTTTATCTTAGATATTTTTCTAAATCTCTGTTTTAAACATCAAAAAACTTTAAACTTTTAAACCTCGCTCTGAGAACTCATAATACATCCAATTCGTGTGCTGTATATACTCAACATCTGTGCTTGAGATGATCTTTCGTGTGTCTTTCTGGTTGTCATCTTTGCTGTGTCACTCAGTTTTTAATGCATTCCAGAATTCCACCTTTGGAGAAACATGCTCTTTGAACAGTTTAAACTTTGCATCTTTAAGGTTTTTTAATCATATCTTAAACTGCAAAACCTGTGACTAGGCATAGCATTATGTACTGCACTCAGTTGTAAATTCTTGCATATCACTTTTAAGTTCTGTGCTCTTCCAGGCAGCATCAGTATCAATTGTAAGTGGTAAGAATTACTGCTTTCCATCAAATGATGAAAAGAACAAATTTGCCAAATGGTTTTGTAGAGATTTCTTGTTGTTTCTGTCCTTTATTTTCATGTTAAGAATGCTTGCAAGCAATTAAGGTATAGGTAGAGGAGGCTGAAAGCCGTATATAGTTCCTATTGTGTTGGGGAGGTTTTTGCTTTCAAAATGACTAAATATTTGTGGGTAATTATTTTGTCTTTTCTCTTTCTTTTTTTCTTTTTTTTCTTTTTCTTCTTTAAGGTTTTCTGGGGTCAAGAGCATTTGAACTGTTTAGTTCTTCTCCAGGAGCTTCTGTGGCAGTACCTCACTAAAAAAGGCAGTGTAGAGACATTGATATCTGAACATACACACCCCACTTGTTTTTCTACCAGAAGGAATCAGGCCTCAAAAACTGAGCATACCTCAGATGATCTGAGGACAGGCCTGTTCCAGTATATACAAGATGCGGGTAAGAAGAATATTACTGCTCTCTTCTTTCTTTTTAATTATAAGGTGAATACAGTAGTAACCTATTAAAGATTACTTGCCTCTTACAATGAATACGTCACTTTTTTTGGAAAAGCAATTGAAAAGGCATCTGCTCGAATTAAAAAAAAAAAAACCCAAACTTTTTTGATTTCTTTCCATTAAGCTGTAATCCTTTAAAAGTCAGGGAAATTGCTTTTTTATTTTCTCTCCTTTTGATCCTGAGGGGTTTATTTTTAACTACTTTGGTCTCATAAACCAGCATGTTTCTTTCTAGAAATTATATAACAGATTATAGCTTTCTTTCATTTGACAGAAGCACAAAAACTGCCCAGTGCCTATGAAGTTGTGTTTTACAATGAAACTGAGGATAGCCCAGGAATGATGTTGTGGAGATATCCAGAACCAAGAGTGCTCACTCTTGTAAGAATTAACCCTGTTCCTTTTAATACCACTGAAGACCCAGATATTAGCACTGCTGACCTTGGAGATGTTCTTCAGGTGGGTAATGAGAGTTTTCTACTTTCATTAACAAAAGAAAATGTTACTGTTGTAAAGTGAATGTTTTCAAACTCAGGTTTATTAAAGATGAGCACAAAATAAATGTTAGGAGCTCTATAAAATCAATAGGAGGTAAATTCCACAGCTTGAGCACATCTTTAGTTTTGAAACTACTTGTACAAACATTTTAACCACTTACCTGCAAAGTTTCTCCATGACATAATAAGCTATAGGTGAATTTATCAGTTCTGGTTCGCAAGCATGCAGAGTTTTTTTTCTGTCTTGCTATGATTTCATCCATCAGTCTAAAGACTTACTTAAAGACTTCATTTGATTTGAAACTGAAACATGTGAGGAAAGACCTGGTCTGAAATTGCCAAGACTCACTGGAATCACTGAACTAAAATCTCCAATCCAGCCATCCTCTCCTGTGTCTGTGGTGGCAGATGGCTGTGCTTCTTGTGGTAAGATCCACAGGGCAGAAAGGATCTATTTTCGCTCATTTTGCTTTGAGAGCATTGAAGCGGGCAGTCCAGTTTGACTGTGTGAGATCATGGAACTGGGAGGGCTGAGTGCTGCAGCTGTGTGACACTGTGTCCTAAAAATAGACCATACCTCACAATTACACTGATCCTTAACTCTGAGAATTTTTGCTTTCTAAAATGCACAACTGGGTAGTTACGTTCTCTCCTGTCTAGTATAATTCACCTTTATAAAGTCACTTACTCCTTGCATACATATTTTGATTTTTGCTCAATTTTAATTTTGTTAATATCAGTTTCTTTTTTGTATTACAAATTGGATCTCTCTTTTTTTTTTAATTTGAATCTGATTGTTAATTAGAATAGTGTTGTGAGTCAAGGGAAATAAATATCTCCCAACTCTTCCTATTTGTTCAGAAATGTTGCATTATATTTCATTATTGCTATAACTTTAAAAATTGCTTTTAAAATTGAATTATGCACCGATATGCTTTGAGTTATGGGTAAGTAGGATAATCTTCCTCAGATAAATGGTATAATGTTATTACTGTGCACGTACTGTTAGTGAGATCATGTAAGTGTCCTGCCAATTTCTTTGCCCTCTAGACAGCAAAATGTCAGCTCCTTTCAGTTACATGAAAATTAAAATTAAATGGAAAAAAATCAGCTCCACTTGGCATGAGGTTTGAATCAAAGATCAAAATTGTGTTATTGTATGCTGTCTCGATGACCCTATTAGGTTGCTATGAAAGCCAGCAATTTACCTTCTTTCAGGATGGTATTTTCAGAGCAGAGCACACCAAGTTTTGGTATAATTACATTAAGCTCCCATTATAGATAACAGACATCATGAACATAATGTATGTGCTTGTGTAATGATATGACCCTGTACAGGGGGAATATTGGTGGTTCTTCAAGTGGGCATACGCAGCTGGACTCCTACTGCTTTGTGCTTCCATGCTACAGTCTAGAGAAAATGTAGTTGCAGTCCTCTTTCATTTCCCCTGCAATTGCCTCAGACAGTAAGATAGAAACCGGGAAGCAGTCAGCTACCAGTATTCAGGTCCTGTCAGCTGCTACTGGTCTTCATGTAATTCTTCAGATTTGCATTTAATCTTACACATTGACCGCGGAGAAGTGTTTCCATCAGTCTCGTTTTAAGTTTGTGGTCAAGTGTCCCTATCTAGCTTCCCTCCATGATGTTTTTTACTGTGGCACACTCTCTTCTTAAGGTCTGTCAATTTTATGATTAATTAATTCTTAATAAGTCTTATATTAATACCTTGGGCTTTCAATTACAAGAGAAGAGATGAAGGATATCAGCCAAATTAGAGGACATCTATTCAAAAAACTGTGCTCTTGGGCACATGGAGTGCAGAAATGCCTACAAGAGGATCCGCATTTTAGTAGTGGGCCATTAATTATGGCAGTAACTGTTGCCTGGCTCTAGGTGGTGGTTTATCACGTTTTCCAGAAATGGCCATGCACCTACACAGAGCAGGTCTGCACAATGTAGATAAATGGCCATTTTAAACATGGACAATATGCATTTTTTTATTAGTCTAACATAGATATGTGGGTCGAATAAGTAATACAGAGTAGATCTTCAATTCTTTAGGTAAACTACATTGACCAAATACTCATCTCAAACTTTAGGTTCTGATTTAAATTAATCAGGAGGCCTTTTATCAGCTCCACTTTTTTCCCTGTATGGATATATGTCTGTTTCTTAATATACTGCTTATTTATTACATATGGAAAAATTCACAAAATACAAAGAGAAAAAAGACAAACCGACACTTTTATTCACTTCTTGACATGAAACATTAGTGGAAAATCTGCAAGCCAAAGACTTCAGCTTCTTTGAAAAAAGGATCTAAATGTAAAGACAATAATGATATCAAGGTATATTAAAAATATATTTTAAAAACTTTCCCAGTATTGTGTATATGTTCAAATGCTTTACTTCACATAAATCCAGGCAAAGGTGCACTTCTGTAGTTTGTCTTGAATTAAAAGTTTGCCAGTTGCATGGTCTTTCTTTCCAAGTAAGTTGCTGTGACATTTCATCTAGCTTTCTATCTTAGAATCATAGAATTGTTTAGGTTGGAAAAGACCTTTAAGATCATCCAGTCCAACCATTAACCTACACTACCAAGTCCACACTAAACCAATCAAGGGTAGACTAGACTAAACCATGTCCCAGAGTGCCATGTCTACCCGTTCTTGAACGCTTCCAGGGATGGTGACTCCACCACCTCTCTGGGCAGCCTGTTCCAATGCTTGAGTACCCTTTCCATGAAGAAATTTCTCCTAATATCCAACCTAAACCTTCCCTGGCACAGCTTGAGCCCATTTCCTCTTGTCCTATCGCTAACTACATGGGAGAAGAGACCAACACCCACCTCACTACAACCTCCTTTCAGGTAGTTGTAGAGAGCGATAAGGTCTCCCCTCAGCCTCCTCTTCTCTAGGCTAAACAATCTTTGTTAAACTTCTTTTGGCATATCGTTTTAATCATGGGTAGGTTTTAGAAGTCTCTGTTTTTATTGCTATTCTTCAAATTCCTGGAACTTGCAAAAGCTTCACCACAAAGAATTTTTCTAGATACTGAAGTTGCGTGTCATCTGCTGCGGCCCAAGGATAAGAGAACAGCTTCAGATTATAAGAGTTGATATGAACTATATTGTTTCTGTAAACCTCACCTTGCTGCTTTTTCTAGATTGTCCCAAGAGCTTATTTTCTTGTGCTTTTACTTGTGTTGTTGCAAAGGTAAGCAGTTTCACTGGTCAAGCTTCTAATACTTTACTTTTTTTACAATCCCAACATTGTTGCTTTTATTTGTGGAGGAAAAAGGAAGAACTGATGTTTCTGCCATGGTGTAGCATGTTGCATTTTCTTTAGCGATTTGAAATAGAAGTTTGAGCTATTTGTTCGAAGGAAGTGAGAGAGAATCCTAGATGCGCTTGCAAGAAACTGCATCAGGATTGTATTTCTTTTGGGAGATTGAGAGTATCTGAATTTGTTGTTCTTCCTGTTTACCAGACATTGTAGGCTCCTTTCTATTTAATTTTTAATCCCTCATTGTCCCATTTTCACATGCTACATATGCTCTTTGGCTGTATGTGATTTACTGTTCTTTCAGATAACTAGCATTTGACGAAACACCTTTAGACTTCCCTGGTACCTCTTAATTTTTTAAGGAGTTCCTGTTCAGTGACATAAGGTGCTTCTTATCCTCAGGTACTAAAGTCACTGTCTGGCATCGCTTCTAGTCCTTTTTGACCTGGAGACCTTTTCTCATTTTACTCCCCTGTGTCTGCATCACTGCCAAGATCTTTTCTGAATATACCTTCTCCAGACTGTTTTAAAGTTTATATAGTAGTATTTGCAAGTTCTCCCCAATGGAGAAAGTACATACACGGGTATTATTTTTGGAACACAAAATCAATGAAGTGAAGCAAAAATCAATTTGCCACTGTGCTTACAAGTGTCTTGGGTGCAACCTTGTATAGCTAACTGGAATAAAAGTTAATACTGGGTTCTGTATCAAGAAGGAGATGTGCTATGGATGTCTTTTATACTGAACATCTTCCTAGTTCCTTGATCAAAACTATTAACTCTTGACTGTTCTATCAGCTTCTATTTCGTTTCTACTAATGGTTGTCTGTTTTCTAAGTTGTGAGATTTCTTTGATGGTGTTTAGAAAGCTCTAGATACAGCTAAATATCTTAATAAAGGTCAATGTGGGATGAAGGAATATACATATAAGATCAGTAGTTTCATGTTCTCATAAGAAGAAAAAGTAAACAGGCTGTGTCTTGTCCAAGTAATGTGATAAATATTGCTCTAAGCCACCACTAATGTACCCCTTGTATAAAGGGGAACGACAAAAAAGACCTTCAGGCAGCAACTCAAACATTGGTAAAGGCATAGCCTTTTTGATCTTGACTACTGCTAAGATTATTTTTAAAATACATGGAGAATAAAAAGCATACTCCACTGATAACTTTAAGACAGCAGACATCTCGCAAGAGTGGTTAATCCCAACGCTGACTCCATCTAATGTCATGTAAGCCAGGGTAATCCATTACTGCCCAAATCAGCAAGGGCAAAGGGTAGAACAGTATTGATGTGAGAATCATATTCACACCTCGGGAGCAGAGAAAGTCCAAACTTGAAAAAATTTCACAAAATGAATTCAAAAGATAATAAGCAAGATGAAATAGCAATGTCGTGACTAAAATATTGAAGATTGATATTGGTACATCAGAAAGATGCTCATTGAGACGTTCTGAGTTACAAGAGATAAAATTTTTAAATCATTCAAGTAGATTGCTGGTAAGAGAAAGTCTTGTGGTTGAAGATATGTGGACGAGCAATTTTAAAAGCCTGTTTTGTTATGTACTTAAAGAAAATAGGTACACAAAACCAGAGAGACAAAGTGTACTCTTCTTGCTCCAAAACAGTTAATGTTACGTTTAGGACACTCTCTTGTGCAGATAATTTTTATAGTAA